ACTGCCAGATTAGCATTTCACTGGCTGGAACTGGATGTCAGGATTCTGAACAAATACCTTTTGAAATGTCGCTTAGTTTCTCAGGGACTCAGGTTTGGATAAATCTCTTACTATTACCCAGTGACCTCAGGTGCCTTTTCTTCTCAAAGCCAGATCAACCCCTCGGGTGTCACACAACAGAAAACTTTAAAATAGCCTTTGATTCCAAATCTGGCACCCTGCCCCAGGAAAGATGATATCCAATCTAGAAATTTATGCAATAATCCAAACCCATAAGCACAGATGTACGCTTTATTTCATCATCTAAAACCAAAACTCCCAAAGCGCCATTAATACACATAGACAGCTACTCGGATAGAAGCTGAATCTGTAACTAACAGAATTTGTACCGCACTTTTCACAAAATACATACACGTTATTTCGCCCCTGTCATAAACCTCTGAAGTTGGCGTTATCACGTATTTTACACGTGGAGAGAAGGCTAGTCTGGGAGGTTGCAAGATCCGCCCAAGGACATGGAGAGGGGCAGAGTCAGGACTTAAATACAGGTCTACTCAAACTCTTAGTCAAAAGAGAATTTTTGACCCACCTTCTATTTATTAAAAATGAGCAATATTAGGACATAAGTAAATTTATAGCCAAAAGTGACATCTATTGTCTTACTTAGTGCTAGAACAGAAACTTTAAAGCTTAAGGATTTATTTCCTCAAAGAACTCCTTGGATTCTGAAGCAGGTTAAAATCTACTGGATAAAATGATTAATAATGCAACTTGCTTAGACAAATGTATTTTTGTTACATGCTTTCACAGTTCAAGCCGTGGTTCCGCTTAACACTTAGCGATCTTCTCAGCATTGAGTGAAAGCACAGTTGCTCGCAGTGAAGGAAAGCTCGCAGAAGTCAAACACGACTTTGTTCCAAGCTAAGCATTTTGTTCCTGAGACTTCATGCTTAATTACTACCATCTATGACAATAAGCTTTTGATATTGTGACAAATTAGTACATTTGCTTGATGGAAACCAACTCATCATCATCATCAACAAGGAGGCCTAATTAAGAAAAACTCACTGGTGAAAAACATGGGACAAGAATTAAGTTTTCAAAGAAATACGGGTGATCTAACCACACTCTGTAAATGAGGATATTTTCTGATTTCGTGAAGAGAGTTCCTGCTGCCACAATTCTCTGGCTTTTTGGGGACTTCCTCTACCATGATGAATTCTTCAATGAAAATTAAATCTCTCTTATCTGACTCCTGCTATAAACACAATATGAAGTAGGTAGAGTCACATATGAAATATTCTTGCCAAAAATGTTTAACCTGAAACTGTTCAAGATTTTAGATCTCACTCCCAGTTTACAGGAAATACAGAGGGTAGAGGATGAAATTGAATACTAAGAAGTCTTATGAGACAAATCCAGAATGGCGGATATCCCCATAGTTAACGTCACGGGGAAAATGAAGGAACTGTTCCAAATTAAAAGGTAGAACAAACAAATGCAATGTATAAAAGTTGGTTGAATCTCAGCTCAAAGCAGCATAGCTGTAAAATATATATTTGGTGAAAAACAGAAGATATTTGAAAATGGTTTATATAAATAGGATTTTTTGTTAATTTTCTTAACAGAGATGATGCTGTGGTAAGTAGAATGACCTTATCCCCTCCTCTCTTTCAATGCAGCCTCTCCACATGGCTAGCCTGGGCGTCCTCACAGCACGGTGGACTCTGGATAGCTGGACTTCTTACTTGGCAGCTGACTTCCCAGGCTGGGTGGGGGCTACCAGGCTTCTTAAAGGCTAAGCCCCAAAATAGCATCACTGCACGTTCATTACATTCTGATGGTCAAAGCCAGCTGCAAGGCCAGCCCAGATTGAAAAGGGCAAGAGGTGGATTCCACTTCCTGATGGGTGGAAAAGTACATGCTTACAAAGAGGGAAGGAAGTGAGGACAAGCATTTTGGAGACCAGTTACTCCCTTTCCTCCAAAGAACAGATTAAATATATTAAGAGGTTGAATGAAAGCCACACACTCCACAATGCAACAGGAATCTAGATACTGAAAATAAGCTTCTGTTATACATAAGAAAAATGTTGAGAGCTCACGTCAAAGTCAGTGAAGCATTTTGTTTACAAAGCATTTAGTTTCCCTTCCCTGTGTGCAAGGAATTTACAGTCTAAGAGGCAAAGGTAGAAATGTGCACACATAAAGATTAAGACATTATTCCCTGGAAAATACTTTATTTTGATCTGTTATCATTTCCCGGTTTTCCTTCTGCCTTGGAGCAGTATCTAAAGAGCGAATCCAAGACCTAAATTGTATTTTACTGATTTTTGTATTCCTACTGCCTTTTGTATTCCTACATGCATCTGGCATGCAATGAGTACTCAGCAAATGTTTGTTGAACTCAATGAGTGATTTATATCCGTCACACAAACTGTTGTCCATTCAGGAGCTGGGATTTTAGGAAACAATAAAGGGCTAAAGCAAACTCATATGTTTGCCGTGACTGAGGAATGGGCTGTTCCAGTACATGACTATGTGGAACAGAACCAAGAGCCCAGTAGTAAGCAAGACATTTATCTCAATTATCAAAAGAATTATGACAAATCCAGGTTGAAAGGTCCTACACGTTGTTAAGAAGAATGCCTCTCAGGCCTCACTACAGGAAATATTTACAGATGGGTGTTCCTATTACTTCAGCCTTCCATCTGGGGTAAGACCAGGAGGTGGCTGGGACTGCAGTAATGGCTGAGGTAGAGGCTGGTCCTGGTCACATTCAGGGAGAGTAATGCATCTGGGGGTGCTTAAAAGCCTTTTCTTTCCGGTAGTGTTTTGGACTGAATTGTGTCCCCGTCCGAAATTCATATGCTGAAGCCCTAACCCCCATGCGACTGTATTTGGAGATACAGCCTTTAAAAAAAGGTTGGTGAAGATGGAATCACTGTGATTTCTCTTTTGCTATCCTAGCTGCTCGATGGGGACTAGGGATTAAAAAAACTACCCACTGCTGCTGCCATCCAGCCTCCTATGATTGGTTTTTGATTTTTTATTTTAAAATGGTTTGTATTTTTATATTTATACGATAATGCTCAGGACAGGCCTACAGCAAGTTTTAACAAATAGATGCAAAAAATGTTAGTGACTAAACACAAGCACCTGTTTCTTGCTCATGTCACAGTCCAGCGCAGTCAGCGCGCTCTCCTGGTAGGTTTCCAAGCAGTGACTCACGTGCTCTGGCTGCTTCTGCTTTGCAAGTTCTTTGTTTACAGCCAAATGGGAAGGCAAGAGAGTGGCCAACCATGACCGCTGGTTGTGATGCAGTGAGTTTTCCTGCCAGGTCTGGAAGTCACGTAGATCCCTTATCCCCACATCTCACTGGCCAGAACAGTCACGTGGAACCAAACTAACCGCATGAGAGGCTTGGAAACAGAGGGACAACGCGGGAGAATCTTCCCACAACTCTACAGCTGCCCGAGAGACTTGGGAAAGAAGGTCGACTGTAAAACATAAAATGCTGCCTGAACCTTCATGTATCTGTGCAAGGATTTAAGATATAATCTGCTCAAAGAACTGGTCACTGTTGTTTTTAATAAGGTTTTAATTCCTTTAGTACAAAACTTCAAATTAAAAAAAATTTTCCTGAATCAAACTGTTTTCAGAACTGCAAAAACATGTTTCCAGAGTCGTCAACTGTTGACAAATTTGGGGGAGAATAAGGCAGCATATATTTAAATAAGAATTAAAATGTCTCTAATTATAAAGATTCCAGTTAACCATGTCTTTTGGAATGACCAAGAATTAAACTATACTAATACATGAAGTAAGAAAATGGTGGTTTGGCATCATTTATAAACATAAATGTGTTCACAAGCATTCTAAATATTCCACAGACATACTTCAGGAGAAGTCTAATCTTAAGACCATGTTTGACACTATAAATATACTCACTGAAAAAATTAACACAATATTTAAATAAGAATGAAGCTCATGAAAATTTACAAAATATAAGCAATGTACTCTGACTTGTAATCACATCTTAAATATTCCAACTTTACCCTTTTGGCCTGGTCAGGCCATTTAAAAATATTCCCACACTATTTTGATTTTAGGATATAAAACAGAAGCAACTCACTAAGTTTCCACTATAAAAATTAATATAGCAATCCTCAAAATACTGAAAAAAACTGATGAAAGCAGTACCCACATCATAACAACTTATTTCAATAAGAATACACCCTCAAAAGGCACGTTATAATTACTAGTATTCACCTAAAGATAGTAGCTTGAGTTTTGAATTTCCAGTCCATTTTCCATCATCTCAACATTAAGAGCACGGAGAGTCAGGGAGGGAGGAGAGCACGGCATCTGGCGGACTTCTACCAGGACGGCAGTGTTCTCACGCATCACATCCACGAAGGCCAGGGGAAAGGCGTGAAGGAAGAGACGACGGCACATCTGACTTCCATCCTAATTTCAACTTCAGGAAATACTTTCTACACAAAAATAACTTTAAAAATTACAGGACAGAATGCTTAAAAAACAAAAGGCCAAACTGCCCAGTTTAGTACACGGGGTGATGTTATTTCTTTGAAGCGGAGAAGAGAATGAAGCTTCTTTGGGATCAAATCTTCACACTGGGCCCATCTCAATTTAAATCACTTGATGAGTTAAAAGTGCTACAAATACCCAGGATGTCAGACATACTGATTGGGGCTGATGTTCTAAAAGGTGACTGTAATTATAATAACATCAGTAATTTCAAGTACCCTACAACACTACTATTATTTTTAAGAGGTTATGTCCTAGGACTCCAAAAATGCAATCCAATATACGGTTTGAGCTACGGTTTACCTTTCAGTGAAGTTGAACGCTAACGGAAATACTAAGTTGAACCAGTCAGTACTCTGAGGTACTAACTGACTCTGCATGAGGTACTGATTCCATGTAAGAAACAGAAGGGAATTTTTAACGTTATTTTGGAATTTCAGAATATTGGAGATCTATCTTAATTTCATATTATTCCCCTCAAGTCTGTTTAGTGTTTCCATTTTTTTTTAAAAAGGGAGATAACCTTAAGATTTTTTTTCCCTCACTATAACAAACTAATTGACCAAAAATACTTTGAAGTACAAAAAAGAGAAAATGGTCACCTGTAACTTAAACAAAATATAATTTTCTGGTCCCTAATAATGGTTACTTTAAGAGCATTTATTCAAGTTCTAAAATAGCAGCTTTTAAAATTAAGGCAACATTGCTTTATTCTTACCTATTTTTCTATTAACTACTCTATTAAAGTTTCTAAGAGCAGTTTCAACCTGAAAGGCCTTATATAATGTAAGACGAGTTAACATGAACATTCTTCTCAGTGTTTAAAAGGTACATAAAAAGTTATTGTATTCAAAGTCAACACACACCTCATTTTTCGGTTTGGGATTCTAAAGTAATTACAGTCGTTTCAGAATGTGTAAACTATGAAATCACCTCTTCAACTAACATCAACAACATAAAATACAATTTTTCTACAAAAATATGATGTAAGAGATACACCACTTCTTCCCTGAAATAGAAATTTAATATTTGGACAAAGAAACTGTAAACTTTGAGTACTGTTAAAATGTATTATTTGAGGTTTTGGCAATTTGGCAACTGGAGCTCTTAACAGAGATCACACCACTGTCATGTTTTAACAACATGAAAATGCCAAATACTTTGTTTTTCTCACTCGTGCATCTGCTACCAGGAGGAAAAGAACGGCTTCCTGCAGTGGACAGTCTGGGTGAATGAGTTGCTGAGGTGCACAATCCGGCCCTGACTTCCACCTTGACTGCGTTCCACAATCACACAAGGCATCTGTACCAGCTGGACAGGGCTCTTCCCGTCTCTCAATGCCTGAGTAAGATTTAAGATCTGTGCAAAGAAGAGAGATTTCACCAGCTCAAAAAAGATCAAAACATTCGGTTCACTGACATTATTTTAACCATTGTTTCATAACTGTAATTTTTATTTCATCCATTTATGCCCAGTAGAGACTGTGATGAGGAGTAACTGCTACAAATATATATTATGTGAATGTGTATGCTTATACATACACAAACACATAAACACACAAATGCACAAACTTAGAATTAATGATTTTTGCCAGCTGGTAACTTTGCAGTATTTTAGAATGCACCTATATCCAGGAGCATTGGGGTTAGAGATGGAATAAAGTGACTGGTTCCATACAGTACTCTATTTGACACTGGATCCAACAAATACTGGTCTAAAAAGTTTGGTTTTAACTAAATACCTGCCTTACCCACTTATTCAACAAATATATTTATTGCACACTTACTACGTGCTAAGCTCTGTTCTAAGTGCTGGAGATAAAACAGCAAAACAAACAAAAAAAGAAACAAATTCTGTGCCTTCACTGAGCTCACATTTTAGCAGGGGAGGAGTCAATAAACATCATGAACAAGTCAACTGTACCATGTATTAGAAGGAAAAAGTGCTATGGGAAAGCATGATGCAGGGCAAATGGGTTAAGAGAATTTGGGAAGGTAGCATTTAAAATAAAGTTTTATTTAAGAGTTTACTCTTAAAAATAAATAAAACTAGGAATAGTAAAATGCATTACCTTCCATGTTTAAATATACTATTGGAATTGCTACTTGCACATGTAAATAAGGTTATGAAAATCAATGCACAGCTTACAGCCTATTCTGTTTAAATAAAAATTTAATAATCCATTTTCTTTTTTTCCCCTGCATATCAGGTAGAAAATTCCCTTTGTTGTATACTTTAGAAATAAGGTCTCCTTTAGGTTTCTGAAAGTTATTTTATATACAGATGGTGGGCATTTTACTAGTTATTGTAAAGACCATTTAATAGTGATAAACATAAAGATTTCAACACAGAGCCGTAATAATAAACTTTGTAACATTTTGAATAGTGTTAACTAGATGGTTTAGGTCCTGGAAGATCTGAAGTATTTAACACATCAGGGAAATAAACCTTCACTAGCAACAGTAGTTACTCATTGTATTTATGTTTTAAGATCACTTAATTTAAGTTCTTCCTTTAAAATCTTCTAGGCTGGTTGACATTTGGATAACAAGACAAAAAATAACTTATAAAATTTACATTTATAAGCATTGCTTTTGCCATGAAAATAAAATGTGGGTACCACTATGGCTAAGGAATGAAATATTCTGATTGGTCTCCTCTTTTGATTTTAAAAATTCTATTCTAAATATGTTAGTATAAACATACTAATTTAACTAATATCCAACATTTTCCTAACTCTAAAAATAACACATGACTGTTGTAGAGAATGTAGAAAACAGAATGGTACAAAGAAAATGAAACACGATTAAAATTTTTCAAATACATAATAGCAAAAATTATTCAGTCTTAATACTACCCTAAATATTAATATTTCCTCTGGGAGTTGATGAGATACTTGATAATCTTGCATTTACTTACTAAAGAAACACTGACTAGCACGCACTGTTGGGGAGGAGAGAAGAGTGAATAGGAGGGAAAAAAACCATCTGCGCTCATAAAGTACTCACATTCTAGAAACAAACAGCCACGCGAACAAACAGCTGGAGTGGAGTGTGACAGATACTTCAGCAACAGTGGATCTATGCTCTGACTGTAAAATCTGATCCCCTCCTCAACATACTGCCCATTTTTTCATTTCTCATAAAAGAAATACATTACTATATATTTAAATCAAAGAAGATTATTTTTAGAAATAGACAAAACACTGCAGGCAAGGAGAAACACTTCAGAATTCTCTATCAATGCCACGTTTGATTACGTGGTAGGGATGTGACACTTAGGTTGAGGGCAGATGGTGTGAGCTCACAGACTTCTGCATGTAGATTTTGCTTTCCTCTAGACTGGTTCACTGGTCCTCAGATTTTAGTGGGCATGAGAATTACTGAACTAGCTACATAGAACTACATATATTTTAATTTCTTGTTGGTTTTAAGCTATTTTTCAATAGTACTACACCCAATGTGCTGTTTTAACATCAGATTTCTGAATGAAATGTGACCTTGGTACTCCGAGGGTGTGCTGCGGAAATCAGAATTCCCTGAGCCGCGGGAGGAGCCTAGGAACACAGAGGTGGAGCTTGAAGGAAAATACCGTTCTCCTGACGAAGAGGAAAAGGCACTGAGGGGAGATAACAGTGCACACAAGGGCCCCACAGGGCAAGGGGAAATGGGACAGGACAGTGACGAATGGCTAGGCTTAGGGGAGGCTGCCAATGAGGGGTAAAGGCAGGTGTGGTGGGTGGAGGCAGATTGTGACGGTAGAGTGCTCAAAGTCGGGAAATGAGCCTGCACCTAGTGCGAATCAAGGGAGCTTTAAATCACCAAAGAGGCGATCATATGTGCTTTTAAAGAGATGGTTCTAGTCTAATGTGGAAGAAGGACGGGCAAACAGGTAAGGATATAAGGACACCATTTAGCAGATCATTAAGTTCAGAGAAGAGCTGATAAGGGCTCCAGGCAGAGGCAATGCCACACGTGCCATTTAGACATTCTCCCTTATTAAACAGATACAACATGTTAACCTTTTGAGCCAAGTTATAAAATGCAGATAACTATGTAGAGATGTTATGAGGATAAATAATAACAAACTTAAAAATACCTAATAAAGAATCAAGTACTCAGGAGGTATAAAAGTGTTAGTTTCATTTTTTTTTAACATCATTGATTTTTATTGAATCTTCAAATGAGCTTCTGGTTAAAACCACTGAATACAAGTTCACCATGTATTAATAAAACTATTATTTCTGCCATTTTCTCAGATCATGTGTGAAATACATTTCATATAAATAAGTACCTTCTGAGGTCCCGTGTTCCAAACAGGCACAGGCAGAGTAAAATGAATGCTCTTACTGAACCTGACCATGATCCTACTGCTATTTAATGTAAAATTCAAAATCTTTAACTTAGTAAACATCACTAGTCAAATTTTAAAAGAAATGCCTTCACACTAGTTCCTAATTCCTGTCTTCATCGTTATATGAAGAATCAGAACATGTCATTGATTATGTATGCAAAACTAAAAACTTCCTATAAACTAGGGCAAAAGACTTGGTTGTACAAGCACAAATCATGATGGTAATTGGCAAAATTAGAATGGAGAAGGATTCGAGGGATAATTATAAATGATAGAAATAACACAAGTATTTTGACTCAATTAAGGAATTGGCTAAATAATGAATTTCGTTGCTTAAAACACGGGTTATTTGTTTTTGTTTGTTAAGCTTCCGTTTCAAATACTGATTTTTTACTTTAGAATATAAAATAATATGTGATTTTTTAGACTAGCTTTTCTTCTTTTTAAAGGCTAAAACCAGAGAGTTACACAATCATGTACATGGTTAGGGTACCTTATTCTTTTTGGCTATCAGAAAGGTTGAAACCAAATTAAAATAAAAAACCAAAACAAAATCAAATTAAAACACATAGCCAAGGTATCATTTTATTTTTTATTTCTCCAGATCCTGATCCTGTCAGTTTTATATTCTATTACACCCATTTGTACAATACCTTATTCCTTTGTAGATGAGACAGGATATGAATAAATAAACCTAAAATAGCAGATAGCCACTGGTGTATCTTTGTAACAGACCTCAGAACTGGAGAGTCCCCGTATCTTTTCAGATAAGCATCTTAAAATTTAAATTTAAATTCCTCATGTACTAACTTTAATCAACAATTAAAGGTTATAAAATTATTTACAGCTTTTATTTTTAAAAAACAAATATTCCTAAGGTAAAGATACACCTTTAGGGATACGAGAATTCCAGAAGATGGAGCATACTGCTAAAGTCAAGCCAATTTGTTTCAAGCAAAAATGTCAGCTTAGGGCATAATTACCTATGCCTGAAAATTTAACTCAAATATAGTTTAGGGTGGTAACCCTCAACAACACAATTACAGTCATCCAGCATCTGAGCCCCTCGTTCATGCCTGAATTACTGAAAACACCTCCTCACAAGGCTCTGTGGCTCTAGACATGTGTGCTGAACCAATCCGCACCCCACTGTCCAGTCTGCAGTGGTTCTTTGTTGGGTTAGGGATACCTTTTGCTGAGCTATAAATTCTATTGCCCACTCCACGTCCAAAAAGTACACATAAACAGAATTTAGCACAAGATTTCAGGGAGTTCACAGAGAAAACCCAGGGTAAGGTCTCCTCTCCAGAAATGTCACTCTCATCGCAACTCCCCCCTTTAAAAGACATTCTGATTCCTTTTTTATTATACACAGTATGTAAGCAGCTTATACATACCATTATGTATTATATATTTTTTAACTTAATATGTTCTGGAGATCTCTCCATATGAGTAAATAGAAAACTTTATCATTATCACAACTTTTTTTTTGAAATTGAAGTATAGTTGATTTACAATATTGCATTAGTTTCAAGTGTGCAGCAGAGTGATTCAGTTTTTTTTTCTTGCAGATTATACTCCATTATAGATTATTATAAGATATTGGGTATAATTCCCTGTGCTATATATTAAATCCTTGTTATCTATTTTATGTACAGTAGTTTGTATCTGTTAATCCCCAAATCCTAATTTGTCCTTCCCCTTTCCCTTTCCCCTTTGGTAACTATAAATTTGTTTTCTGTGTCTCAGTCTCTGTTTTGTATATAGATTCATTTGTATTTTTTAGATTCCACATATAAGTGATATCACACAGTATTTGTTTTTCTCTGTCTGACTTATTTCACTAAGTCTAATATTCTCTAGTTCCATCCATACTGCTGCAAATGGCAATATTTCAGTCTTTTTTATGGCTGAGTAATATTCCAGTGTGTGTATATATGTGTGTGTGTGTGTCTCTGTGTGTAGCTCATAACTTCTTAAGCCAATCGTCTGTTGATGGGCACTTAGATTATCACAACTCTTTTTTGGAGGGGGTAGTTAGGTTTATTTATTTCTTTATTTACTGGAGGTACTGGGGATTGAACCCAGGACCTCATGCATGCTAAGTGTGCACTCTATCGCTAAGCTTTACCCTCCTCCATCACAACTCTTTTCTATGCCAGCTCTCTAACTGCTCCAGTCCCTTCTGAGTGGAATCTGTATTCTGGTAGTTAGGGCCCTCCATCATCTGACTCTAGCCTGCTTCTCCAGTCATTTCACTTAAAACTTATGATTATTTAAAACTTATGACTCCAGCAGAGTGCTGTGTAAGTGCACAGAGCACAGAGAGATGAACAAGCTAACAATCTGCCCCTTTTCCCTGACTCCTGACCTCCTCACTGGAGCAAGAGCTCCCTGAGGGGAGAAACTCAGTTTCACTCACTGCTTCATCTCAGTCACTAGCACAGTCTGTGGCACTGTTCTTTCAATAAATATTTGATGAATGAATGATTATCTAATTTAATTTTATATATTTGTTAATGCTACATAATACACAGTGCAAAAACTAGACTTGTCTTCTTTGCCACGTGTTTGTAGCAAATAGCTACCTTAAAAGAAACGCATGTTTTAGGAAGAAAAAGTGAATTAGTAAGTCACTAAGAAGACAGTGTTTGCACTATAGTTTATTTTCATTTCCAGTCTTCCTTTTGGAATCTGAATACTATTAATAGAGTAGTAGAACCAGATGTCACCTGTAGGTCAGGCCAGCCTGCAGGTCCACACCAGCAGATGGAATTAATACCTTGTATTTCTAATTACAGGAGGTGAGAAGGGGTGAGAGGACTGAGTTACAAATAGTACTTTGATGTCCCAATTAGTGCTCAACTTTGCTGACACGGTTATTTACTGATTGTTCTAACAAAGG